ATTTTTTAATTTTTTTTTCTTGTAGAGACGGGATCTTTCTAGGTTGCTCAGGTTGGTCTTGAACTCCTGGCCTCAAGCAGTCCTCCTGCCTCAACCTCCCAAAGTGCTAGGATTACAAGTATGAGCCACCCCTCCTGGCCATGGAATGTTGGGTTGTAGAGGTTACAAATACATTTTAGTGAGTAAGCAAATTCACAAATGTGGAATCAGGAATGATAAGGATTGACTTTATATTGCCCTCTTACTACTGCACATGAGACAGCATATCATATCATATGATCTCCATTTCTCAAAGAAATCTACAACTAGTAATGGGGAAAAAAAGGGCGATTACAGGTGGAAATTTCCGATTAATGTTTACAAAAGATAGTAATAAATGTTCTGGGATTAAAAGATGATGAGAAAGTTTCATGGGAGAATAAATTCAGAAAATTTCTTCTATTAGAGATTCCAAATGGACTTAAATATATTAAAGCTTCTAAAAAATTCCTCCACAAAAAGAGCCTGCTTAGTTCAATCAAGCTTTTACCAAATCTATTTGAACATAGAATCCTTTTTTCTTTAAAATTTAGAACAATTATTAGTACTCTGTTGAATGGCACTTCAGAGCAGCAGGTTAGGAAATGTCACTACAGGCTATCTCAGGAAAACAGAACTATCAATAGTTCCTTCGCTTTTTGAAATTCAAAGCCCTTAAGTTTTCAGTCACACAATGTAGAGAAGGAGTAGAGTTTCACTGTCTTAAGTTGAGATAGCAATCTGCTATTTCATTAGAATTTTTGTAAATGATAGCCATTGTATAACGCACTTTCTAAGTGACAGGATGTTTGTTAGTCTCTTCACAAACATCATTTCATGTAATCCTCACAACCCTTGCTCAGGTTAAGCAATATTATCCTCATTTTGCAACTCGGAAACCAAATGTGAGGGAAATTAATTTTCCTAAAGTCACCCAGCATGATATGGCAGAGTGAAGATGTGAATTAAGGTCCAGCTAGCTATAAAATCTATATCCTCTTTACTTTTCAGTGGCTACTTCCAGTATCACCAGAGAAGCATTATTGGGAAGAAAGTAAAGTAGATAAAAATTGATGCAAACATAGATGACAGAAGTCTGCAACGGTGTACAAACACTCCAGGAAGGGGAGCTGGAGAGAATGGTTCACTAAGCAAGAAATGCGAATCCCAGAAAGAGAGACAAGAAATGTCAGAACTATAAAAACCATACCAAAACAGGGTGCTCATGAAGAAATACAGATAGTGTCAAATACTGAGGGGAACCTTTGCAATGGAAAATATGTAACCAATTTTTTAATGCAGTGGATTTGGGCTAGCATGAAAAATAAATGTTTGAGATAAATTGTAAAGTAAAGCGAGCAAGTTACTGAACAGATTGCAGAGTAAAATTCCACTTGTGTAAGAATAAGATACATATACTTGAATATGCATAGGAAATTTCTGGAAAGATGTGTAAGAAACTGTCAACTGTGGTTATCTCTAGGAAGTAGGAATACAAGACACAGGAAGATTCAGGGGAATTTTACTTACTTTTCTACATCCCTCTGTATTGTCTGAGTTTTATTTTTTATTTACCCTGAACACCTATATGTTTATAACAAATTAACACAGAAAGATGGAGGCAAAGACTTCTGAGTTAAATTGGCAGTCAACTAGTTGCATGGATTGTGCCTTCTTGAAATGCACATATAGACACCACAAAGGGCCTGGACTGACAACAAAAGAAACTAAAGATAAAAAAAAAAAGTTCCTAAAATTTAGTCAGAATTTTCACTAGTGGAAGAATCATGTTGGGTTGACTATATAACACATACCCATTCCACACCATGAACCTAAATAACAGGGAGAACCATAGAGGGGGTGCGACCCACTTCCTGACTTCTCTGATCTCCAGAGAATGCACTGACCAGGAATAACTGGCTGCCACTCAACACAGAGCCATTGCATTCCCACTGTTATCTGCTCTTCCCTCTTTATATCCATTCTGAGCCTCTAATTCACAATAAGCAGAGAGAAAAAGGAATGGGAGTGATGCATTACAGAATTATAGATTTTTCATGAGTACATTTAATAAGGTCTCAGGCAGGAGGTACACATTTTCCTAGAAGCCTTTACAAATTTTTTTTTAATGCAAATACTGTAAAATAGCATAGGGAACTACGAAAAGAGAACAGCTTGAGTGAAGAGTTTAAAATAACACTATTTAATAATAAAAATCTCAAAGAAAAAATGCAATTGCAAAGCTATTGTTTTATGAAAAACAATAAACAGCAGAATCCAAACTGCAGGAAATTTAATAAGTGATACATAGGACAAATTGGAATTGCTTCAGAATGCAGAAGGTAGAGATAAAAATGATATGTATCATGATTATGTCTCGAAGTATGAATGTAGTTATTCTCTACATATTTCCTTCTCTCTATACATTCTCTCCCCAAGGACCATTTTACTTCTACCAGCCTACACTGGAAACTTAAAGTTTCTAAGAAATCCCTGAGCTAAGGGAAAGGTGAGACAAGAAAGAAATAATAATAAATACTCTCGGGATCAACACCTGTGGGTAGGATAGGAAAGAAAGCAGGAATGGGTAGAGGGCAAAGAGTCAAAGTGGGTAGTAGAAAGATAATGTTTATTCAGGAAAAACCAAGGGAAAGAATGGGAGAGACTCTCAGAGCAAGGCTGTCTTGTGCATAGCCCTGCCCTAGATTTCCATGATGGATCCTCTGAAGTTCACTAAAATCCCTCTTCAGGAAAGGACTCATTACCCTGTCTCATGGGAGTGTTTCCAGCTGACAGCTCTCATCTGCCAGGCCCCTTTGGAAATTGCCTCATCTGAAGAAAGTCCCTTCCTGCAGGGTCAAATGCTCTTCCTGGAATGGTCCACTTCCAGTTAATTCTCAACACGTGATTATAAAAGTCACCCTTACTCCAACTCAGATAGCTCTGAAGAGTTAGTCTCTCTTCAAAACAAACTGTGGAGTACTACAGTGTCAGTTTAAACTGCATCATGGCTTGCCTTCATCCCTGCCAGTCCTGTTTCTTTCACTTTCGCAGCTGTTGATCTCAACAACACTCCCTAAAAAGCCTCTGGACACTAATCTCCATCTTATAATCTTCTCCCCAGGGAAGATAAAGAGCAACATTCCACTGATTCATCACCTGTGGACCATTCCACATGTCCAGGAGACTTGTGCATTTCTATAACAGAGAGTATGGAGCTTAGACGTCCTGCATGCAAGTAGAAATACAAAAAGAAGAACTTCACCTTCAAGGTAGGAGCGAACAGAACTATTGTGAGAATTTCCCTGTGAGTGGGGCAATGACGACCCCTCACTCACTGTCCTATTTTGAGGCAGGCCAGGAAACTATTATATATTAAATCTTGGTACAACCTGGGATGTATCCTATGTACAGTAACTTCTGTAGACTAGTGTCTCTATTGCCAATGTGAGCACTAAGTTGCTATAGAATAATTTGTGGGAGCTGAGATCTCCCTGTGCAGTATTGCCAGAAAGGCAACCGCTAGCCATGAGTAAGACTGGGAGAGGACTAAAGGCATCACGAAAACCACATTAGAACCTGTGGAGATGTGGGTACTTCAGACCTGGATATACAAAAACAATGGAGCTGCGATGCAGTTGTACATGAAATATATCAGGTTGGTGGCCAAAGACATAGATGGAGAGGGTGGGATCCAGAGACAAAGCCATCCCTCCTGATACAATACACTAAAGAAGGATGACCTTATTTGCTGGGGGAAAATATCAGACTCTTCGGCGTTTTGGTGTAGATTTTGTATACTCAAGATCAGAAAATCTTTCTAATTACCTGGCAAGTGGATCTAGCAATGAGAATCTGGTGACTGAGAAATTATTGCTCATAATTAAGGAGAAACATCTTTATTGAAATTCAAGACTAATTTTTAAGTTCAAAATTCTTCTCATGCCAGCTGAGAAGTTTTCAGATAATGGCTAGGTCACACAAACTAGATATTTCTTCAGTCATCATGTATTAGGATCTGAGAAATAAGTGTATGGCACATCTGCAATATCTGGCTTGAGATTTAATGCCATCAGAGTAGTCACCACTTCAAGAATGGTGGCAGAATGACTAAGTAAGCAAACAGATTGCCAGAGGGCATCACTAATTAATTTATTAAGCACATATTGAAAAACTTAAAGAAAAAAAAATATTTCCTTTTGTACTGTCCAGTCTTGAAAGCTCTGAAGAAAGGTCAATTGACTCCTCCCCAAAAAGTAGACGTGGACCATGTAGCATTATGATTAGCTGATCTTTAAACGTTTGGTAGAATTCCTTTGGAAAATCACCTAGGGAGTTTCTACTCCTTCTTCAATTTGTTTTCTATTCATTTGTGGAAATTCTTATGTTTAGACTTCCTATATCTGCTATATATCTACTAGAGCCAATTTCAAATAGGTTTTTAAATTTATTTGACTAGATTTGTATAAAGTAGTCTCTTACAATTTTTAATATGTTCTCTCTTTTAATGGTTATTTCCTTCTTGTCAATTCTCGCTTTGTAAGGTTATTTTTTGTTGTCTTTTAAAACTTATTCATCAGTTCTACTTTTTTTGTTTTTTCACTAATTACCTTCTGTTTTCATCTTTATTAATTTAGGGAAAATGTTTAGAATTAAACATGATTCTAAAAGCAAAAACTATAAAAAGTTTCACAAATCTGGACTCTCCATTTTCTTCTCTTTGGTCTATTTGTCTATACCGGAGCCAAAATCATACTGTCTTGTTTACTTTAGGTGCACATTGTCTTACATAATGGTTAAGTAAGGCCACCCTCCATGTTCTTCATGAGTTTCTGGCTATCCTTGGCCTTTTGCATTTCCATGTATATTTTAGAATCAGTTTGTTAGTTCTCTTCACCTCCCTATATACCCTCCCCTTCCAGAAAAAGAGTGGGGAGTTTGATTGGTAAATATTGGTTTGCTGTGGTTAGGTTGGGATTATTCATAATGAACCTGTGTTCAATTTAATTGGGCACCATATGCTGCTTCGGCCAACTTCTTTCAGTCATTAAAGCTGGCCAGGGAAGGGAAAGAAGAGAAAAAAACTGAGTGAATATAGGAAACCAGCAAAATCACATCCTGGAAAGGGCTAGCTGCTTCTCTAAAACCAAGGTTCTCATATCCAGTGTTTATAAGGACATAAACCATTACAGCATCTGCAAATGCTCTACAGGACTTTGGAAAGAGGACTTATTCTCAGAAGCTATAGAAACCAATTACATGGGCAAAGAAATCTTGGTCCTTCCTCAAAGTAGAGAGAAACCTTTGCCTTCACTTGTTAACATTGTGGGAGGGGCACATACAGGTAGCTTTTAATGTGTTTGCCATTCTTAAATGATTTATTGTGATTCTGTTTTTTGATTGGCTGAAATACTTCCTCAATCATTTTTTTCAAAGAGTACATGTGTGTTAAAAATTATGAGTCTCTGTAAGTTTGAGATTGTATTTATGTTATTATCATTGACAATCAATATTTTGACTCAGTATGGAAGTTCTGTACAGTCAGAATAGTCAAAAAAGCACATTTAAAAGGGAAAACTGACCAGTCTTGGTGATCGAATACATGTAAGAGTTACTGAAAGAGTGGAGCTGCGGATGGCACCCACACATCCAGCCTCGTCGGCTGGCTTTGCCCTCAATCAGAAGAGAAAATGTGAGAGAAGGGTAATTTTGATGGTGAAATGGAGGCAGGGTCTGAATTAAAGAATCTATAGTTAGAATTAATGTATTTGTAGATTTCAAAATAGCCAGAAAAAAATGATTCAAATATTCCTAGCATAAAGAAAAGATAAATATTTAAGTTGATGAATATCCCAGTTCTCCTAATTATATGACTGTATTAAATTATTATTTGTACCCCCAAAATATGTACATCTATAAAGTACAATTTTTTTTTTTTTTTTTTGAGACAGAGTCTCACTCTTTTGCCCGGGCTAGAGTGAGTGCTGTGGCGTCAGCCTAGCTCACAGCAACCTCAAACTCTTGGGCTCAAGCGATCCTCCTGTCTCAGCCTCCCGAGTAGCTGGGACTACAGGCATGCACCACCATGCCCGGCTAATTTCTCTATATGTTTTTAGTTGTCCAGATAATTTCTTTCTATTTTTAGTAGAGACGGGGTCTCGCTCTTGCTCAGGCTGGTTTCAAACTCCTGAGCTCAAACAATTTGCCCGCCTCGGCCTCCCAGAGAGCTAGGATTACAGGCCTGAGCCATCGCGCCCGGCCTATAAAGTATAAATTTTAAAAATTTTAAAAAAGAAAGAAATACTTCAAAAAAATAAAAATAATTTGATTTCAGATATCTAATGTTTTGTGTGTGGGGGGTATGAGTATGATTTTTTTTCCCACAGTGCATATGGATTTCTAAAAAATTCCAGGCATATTAAATACTATCACATGAATTCATAAGTAATACTTTGCAAAAGAAAATCAAAGACAAGTTAGAGAAAAATCACAGGCTTCTTGATGCTGACTATACCTCATCAAAATGAAGTGTCCCATTCAGAGGACTGAGTTGATGTTTAGCCTTCTCATCTACAGCCCACTGAAGTCGAACAGCTCCTTTTCCTCCTGGAGACCGGACAACTGTCAATGTCACATGAGAATCAGGGTCATCAGACAAAAGGGATTCATCAACTATTACCTGAAAGAAAGAAAATTCAGTAAGGCGCACACACACACACACACACAAATGTGCAGGATAAACTACCATTATCTTATTTCTGTTTACAATGATTGCAGTGTTTGAATTTAGAACTCTATTCATATCATCTTACAATCATGTGGCAGAAAAAAATGTTTTACCAAACCCGATTTTCTCTTTTTCCTGGATACTCAACTACTTGGCATTTCCCATTGTCTCTTTCAATGAGGCGAAACGTGCCTGAATTCTGGCCAATAGAACAGAAGCAGAGGTGATAAATGCTGCTAATACTCTGGACATAAACTTCCACAATACCCCACATTCTCTCTTTTCCCATTTATCAGGTGAATAGAGACTAGAGAGGATGCCCAGGACCTAGAATAGGAGACAGCCACAGATGGAAGAAGTCTGGAAGGAATCTTCAACCAGTTGAAGAAGAGGTGTCCACAAGAGTCAGCCAGGTAGGAACTCTGGTGCAGTATTCTTGCATGAAGAAGAAATAAACACTTACTATGTGAAGGAATTCAGATTTGCCTGATAGCAATCAGGCTCCCCACATAATACAGACCTAAACTGTCTCTGAATTAACTGCGGTTTACCAACTTTAGTGAGTCTAAGTTTAAAAGAGGTTTTATTAACCTGATATTAAGAGAGGAGGACATTCAATATGTTAATGTACCAGTACTATTTATTTTTTACATAAGTCCTTATTAAACTACCTGGTTCAAGCGAATTACATATGTTGACTGTGAAGCAAAGTCCAAACTGAACCTATGTCATCCATCTGTTATGGAAATACAAAGTATAACACAATGCATTCCATTTTCAAGACAGATAGAAGCTTAACAAACATGCAATACAGTGTTGTTTTCTTTTTTTCATGAGATTGTGCATTGATATCAAGAGCAGAGATTTGGAGTCAACTGACATTTATTGAGCTTCTATTATGTGCCAGTTCTTACATATACTTTATATTATTTAAACCTCACAGAAATTCTTAGAAATCTGAGGACCAGATGTATACACATATTTGGAGATGAGGAGCCTGGAATCTAACTCAAATGTTTGACTTTATGCCCAATGCTATTCATACCACTCCTCAGAGAACAAGAGATATTTAATAAGAAAGAAAAACAGAAAAAATCCATTATAAACAAACTGAATATATATTACTTTTTTATTCCATAGATACAACATTTTAGTTTAGTCGTCATAAGTACATTTCTATGGGTCTCTGTGATTTCCAGTGCTTTGATATACTTACCACACTGCCCTTGTGAGCAGCTTATCACTTTCAACATATTTATAGTAACCATCTTTTCTCAATGTTCTTCATTTAGGAGTCTAAATATGTATCACCAAATAATTCTAATAGAATGTTCACTGTGTGCACAATATTGTATGTCTCATATGCATGTTAAAAGATAAACTCCACGCTATCAAGACACTGTTGTAGTAAGACAGGATATAAGGAAAGCAGCCACAAAGGGCTGAGCAAAAGCTACTACTAATACTAGCGACAATAAAAATAGCATTTGGTACCTAGTGAGTATAAAGCCCAAGTAGTAGTGCTTAACATTTATCAACACGTTTACCACTCATAACACGGATTATGAGGAATAATACACTACGGATTGGGCACCCTAATTCATAATGTTATACTCTGGAGACAAATCAGAAATTTGAGGTTATTACAATAAGACATTATTACCCAGAGCAAGCGTGCTTAAATAGGGTTAGAGTACTAAAGTTTATGGCAGCAGGTAAGATAAAATGAATAAACACAAATTGCCCGGCGGGGTGGCTCACACCTGTAATCCTAGCACTCTGGGAGACCAAGGCGGGAGGATCATTTGAGCTCAGGAGTTTGAGAGCAGCCTGAGCAAGAGCGAGACCCCCATCTCTACTAAACATAGGAAGAAATTATCTGGACAACTAAAAACATATAGAAAAAATTAGCCGGGCATGGTGGCACATGCCTATAGTCCCAGCTACTCGGGAGGCTGAGGTAGAAGTTTAGCTTGAGCCAAGGAGTTTGAGGTTGCTGTGAGCTAGGCTGACGCCACAGCACTCTAGCCTGGACAACAGAGTGAGGCTCTGTCTCCAAAAAAAAAAAAAAATTGAATAAACACAAATTGTTTATGAATAGTAGTGTAGCTCTTCATTTTCCTTAACAGTAGGAGAAGCTTTTAAACACATTTTCCAATGCTCAAATCCAAAAGTGTGATGAAGTTAAAAGTAAAAGCATTTTTATGAAGTTTCATCAATGGAAGATTTGAACACTAAACCCCGAGCTTTTCATCTAAACTCGGAAGCTAATAGAGAAATTTTACAAAAATTAAATTACATTTTCATATGTATTAAAATTTTTCTTTGCACATACACAAAGAAAGAAAGCCTGGTTGGAAACACAACAAAATGTTAACTGATGTCTATCTCAGAGTACTAATATTATGGATACTTTTACTCTCCTTTTATACGTTTTTTGCACTTCCCAGACTTTTTATGCTGTCTGGGAGATATTCACAGCTAGTCTTTTGCCAATCCACCACTCCCTACAAAATCTTCTGCTAATTTCTTTCCCAAGGAAGAAAAATAGTCTCATTGGGCTATAGCAAACGTATGTTCTGTCTCTTTTATAGTTCCCATTTTCTTCTGATAGCGAAATTTCAATGATCAAAGCATTAGGCAATTATTAGGTTATATTTAAATTTTGGAGCATCTGGGAAGCCCAGCCCTGATAGTCAAGTTGTAGGTCTATCCCTGTATCCACAGGTCAGAAGACAATGGGCATTAGAGCAATTGGTTTATTAATTAAAAATGATCTATGGTGAATTACTGATTTTCTGTAAGTGATTAAATAAAGGATATGGTGACAAAAGGAGCCAGAAAAGTTGCTGAGTATATGGGAATTATCTAAATATTTTTGTGATTATTTCATCTTAGAATTTCGTTCGAAAAGGAAAGTCATAATAATTATGACATAATCACCATGTGATAATTACGATAGAATTTATAGTGCTTTATATTTAATATATTATGATAATTGAGTACTAATCACCAAACCTAGCTGCACAAATATTTCATTCTCATGATTAATTAAGGTTTTTTTCTTCCCTCAGTCGTTGAACCAATAATAATTGGGTTCCCTCCTTCAGGCTTTGGAAGTAAACATCCAATGAGAATTAAGAGGGAAGAAATAAAGAGAAACACATGAACTGGGGGTGACTGTGGTGTGTTGTTCAATATAGGTCATGACAGAGTACCACAGCAGTGGGTGACATAAATCCCTCACCAACAAAACTCATTTTGAGAAGTAACATCCAGGACCAAGACAGAACCCTGCCTGTGACCAGGATGGTGGTTTGGGAATAGGGCAGGCAGAGAATAGAAGATATGGACAGAAAGTACATGTACCAACATGTACCATGCCCAATAAATAGGAATCTGTTCCTCTTTGTATTAATAACTGCCTGATGTTCAGAGCTCTCTCATTACAATCAAATTGTGTGCATAGGTTGGAGGAGTGGCCCCTGATTCAATAACCCACTGAAAAGAGCCTTCAGAAGAGATTCCTAAGTGAAGGGTAATGAAGAGTTTCGGAACAAAAATGAAAGACATCTTTCTACTCGGAAATTACATGAAAAATTAGCCTGGGGCAAGGCACTCCCCTGATAGATTTAACTTACATTCTTTTTTTCAAATCCAAATACTCCAAATGGAGAATCATTTTGTGGAACAACAACAGTCACCACAACATCATCACCGAGTCTGCCACCTCCAGCCACACTGACTAAGGAAATATTGAATGTCTCCAGGAGTTCAAATTCAGCATCATCGATTATGGTGATTTCTATCACTGCAGTAACCTATGGAAGAAAGGAACGAAGGAAGGAAGAGGGGGAGAGAGGGAGAGAGGGAAGGGGAAAGAAACAATGTAATAACAATTTTTAGAAACATGGTTCCAAAAAAAGTAGACTTTTTGCCTGTTACATTCATAACACAGGCAGTCCCCGAGTTTACAGATGAGATACATTCCTGAGAATGTCTTTAGGTCGGATCTGTCTGTAACTTGGATCCCTGATGAACAGCACATATATGATAATAATAATAATAACAACAACAACAACAATACTGCAAAAAAAGAAAAAAATAATATTATAATGACTCATATGTGGTCATAATAATATAATGTAATACTGTAATAACAACCTTGTACTGTAATAAGTTACAGAAACTATTGTGCTCGTTCTTTTAATTCAAGCAAACAGAACATTAAAAACAAATTCAGACAAAAAGTTTAGCTAGGAGATACGAGACATTTCAAAAAAGAACACTAAAGGTTAACACTCCCTAATGTTGCATTGACACTAGGTTAATAGGAATGTCACGCTTATTTTGATCTTCTAACCAAATCAGTAATAA